ACTTGAGATGATCATGCAGCATTCACACTTTGATATTGTTGTCAAGGTCGATACTAAAAATAAAGGCTTGACGTTCAAGTGCAGACTGAATGCTGTTAATTTCATATTCTTGAGACAGTTTGTCCATAACTGATCAGTGCTGCTCAACTTGTAAGAACAAAACACACAAGTGTTTTTGGTCAGCTTTACAGAACGGTGACATTTCATTCCAGAGGAAAAGGGCTCGGATATTGCATTCACGGTCACACTGTAATCTGCATAATGACAATGATGAACAACCCATCAGTGACGATTTGAGAGAAAAAGCCTCCAAATTCCCCTTCAGATGCATGTTGATTGTGTTTATTCATGGCAGTTAGGTTGATGAGGGAGCAATATGGAGGAGGCTGGATGGACACTTGTTACATGTTACCGTTAAAATAGCAGACATCTCTTGACGAAGAACAAACAGCAGAGGCAGACTGAAATCAAGGCGTCTGCGAAAGCTCTCAGGAATGCAAATTCAAAAGCACTTCATTACTTGCTTTTTCCCTGCAATCTCGTGTCTGAGAGACTGAACTAAGTGGTTAATCAAGCCAAAAACCAAACCATGTCTGAGGGGCCAGAGAGGAGACCTCTGCTCACAGACAAGGCCAACACTCTGTGTGTGTGTGTGTGTGTGTGTGCGCGCGCGCGTGCGTGCTTGCATGTGTGCTTGCTTGCATGTGTGTTCACAGGATATATGTAAGAGCATGAGAAAATGCACGTGTGTGTTCTGACTCTATACCAGACCAGGAAGATCTACATAGCTTGAAGATAAATTCTCACTCATTGTTAATTATTGTGAATTAATCACAATCACTTGTTATGATTTGGACCATACGCAGCTTCATCACAGTATGGACTCATTAGAGCAGAAAACTAAAGATACAAAGTTTCGTTCAACTATTGAAAATGAAAGTATAACAATCCTGATGTCATGATGTCAAGTTACCTGTTAGTTACTTGCTCGTTTCGTGAACCACAACAGCCTGTTAGTGACAAAAAGAATTATTTTAATAACATCTTAACATCTGTCAGAATGTTACGGTTCATCCGGAGGAGTATATGGATCTCTTGTGCGGATTTCATGGAAATCCATCCAAAATTTGTTGAGATATTTTAGTATGGCTTAAAATCCCTGCTGATTTGCCAAATATTGGGGGCATCTCCCAGGAAATCATTTGTAACCTTTTTTGCACAGTTCCAGTTTTTTTTAACACTTGAAAAACTTTCTCCAAATAAAACACATGTGGAGTTTCAGCGAGTATCGATAGTGGAGTATTTCAGTTTGCTCATAGTGCGATATTCAAGAGCAGTTTGACAAGACACCAAATTTTATTGTGTACTGTGTTATTCTATAACTTCTGTTAAGTGCATTCAGGATCTGACAGCTGAGCGAAGGGACTTGGAACGCTAAGAGGAAGAAACTAGCACAAACTCCAAACATGCTGAAGGGTTTAGTTAATATAGAGGCTGTTACACACATACAGTCTGTAACAATAATTGTCTGAATTATTCTGGTGGAGGCAGCATCTTCTCCTAACCTTTCTTTATCACATTAGCAAGGCCTGAACACAATTTGAACACTAGGTGACCATTCACACACCAACACCAACACCATTAAAGTCCTGTGTTGTCTGGATTTCACATCTGAGTGTGCTGGTGTTGTGCATGCTTGTAGTGGCGTCGCTGTTCTTCACATAAAAGTTCATCAGAAATGTTATATTGTCCAAATTGCCTTAACTGACTTAGTGGCATAGAAACATTAGATTCAATTTCAGTAAAATGCCATAAAATTAGTGACAGAATGGAATGAAGTCTGTCTCGTGAACTGATATTGTAATTGTGAACACGTGCCAAAGCAACCAGCAGCACGAGATAAATATGTACAGTATATGTTCCACTGTGTATTTGGTCATATGTTTTATGATATAGTCTTTCTTTTATTATATTTTAAGATGTAAATAGAATTTGCAGTTGAACACTGCAGCTAACCATTACTTTCACTCTTGATGAAATGACTGACTATATAATGTTACAAAATAATGAAAGTTTTGCAGCACACCCTCTCAGAACTCAAGGTAACATTTTCGGACTGGTTTGTTTGATAAACCAAATCCCAAAAATATTAAATTTACTATTGTAGAAGACAGAAAAACTTACTTTATTGTTACTTTTTTACATTTTAGGTCATATTTGCTTAAAAAATGAACTCACGATTGATCGATTGTCAAAATTGTTGCAGATAATTGTTACCAATCGAGTGATGAATGAATAGTTTTAGCTCTAAACTGTCTAACTCATCCAGATGTCAGTGGGATTATTGTAGGTTTTAAAGGATTATTTTCCATCATGTCTGCACGGCTCAAATCAGCCTGAATGATCTCCCTTGTATCAAGAACACGTAATGCACTTGACAAATGACCATGATCTACTCATGACGTAGGGATTTCTCTCCCTGATCGTGTTATTGTTCGATAGACAGAATGTGCGGAATGCAAGTGTGTGAGTGAACTCAGCAGGAGCTGACACTCGACATTAGATTTATGAGTGGAGATTATGACCCAGGGCACTCTGGAAGAAACAGAGAAAAAGACAGCAGAGCCGAGGCCAATGGGAGAGACAAGAGGTGGAGAGAGAGAGAGAGAGAGAGAGACAGAGACAGAGACAGAGACAGGGAGAATAGAGCAAAGGCCATGAAATGAAATGAGATGTTTGATCTCCCCAGGACAGGTGAGGTATTACTGGTGGAGCGTCTGATCTGATGTACAGCCTATGAAAGAATGGACACCACCAGCTGCACTGTGCATTCATTGTGGCTACACATAATGGAAAAGGAGACAGTAACTCATTGTGATCTATATATTTATTTGTCATACCACCATCCTCTCTCTCTCTCTGTCTGGAACCTATGAATATTTCCCCCTTTTTTTCTTCAGAGTTCTTTGAGAAACACGCTCTGAAACCTCACCTAAGTCTACACTCTTTATCCAAAAGTTTCCCTGAGAGGCACTTGGTTTTACTCTGGGCCTCTGTTGTATCTTCAAATGCCTGGTCGTCTCTCTTTTCCTTCATGCTAATCGATGCACTCAGTACAGTGAAACGGTACCCGCCTGCAGACGCAAAATAAGAGCCTCTGAAATGAAAACTTTCCCCCCCTCCTCTTTTAGATGGCAATTGTATGTGGCTGTGTCTTCGTCTGGTTTACCTGTGGGTCTTTGATCATGACAGCATGCGACAGTGTTTGATTCCTGGGGTACTTTGACAGTTTGCAGGCTGGCAAAAGGCCCTCCAGTGTCTGAAGTCAGATCAGAGGAGACAGGGCCTGAAAAGCAGGAGTCCAGCTGGGAGAAGATCAGAAGAGACACAAACTTTAGCGAGAGCCATTGTGAGGTACACAGCGACTGCTGGCTCCTATAACTTTTCCCTTTGTATGTTTTTTATATCGCTCTCTTCTCCATCTCTTATCTTCTGCTCAGAGTGTTGAATGGCTCAGTTAAAGGTCTGTGAGGTTTTATCTGATTTTGACGAAAAAAAAAGAAAGAAATAAAATAAGACACCTTGTATTTGTTCCCTGTCCCTCGGGGTTTAAGGCTGGTCTTTGTGTGCTCGCTCACATCAGTGCACATCTCCTTTACAGTGGAGGCATTATGCCACAGGGAATTTGTAGTAAATGTAATAAAGACTAATTAAAAAGAATGTAATAACCTACATTACATGCCACATGCTGGACCATGACCTGATGCTCAAAAGGCATGGATAAAATTAAATCAAATATTGGATGTGTTTTTGGGAGCCTTAAGTGAAATGAACAGTACTGATCAATCATTTCAGTCACTGTAATAACTGGCCAAATTAATTAATGTATGTAATTATGTTACTTTGGAGCCTGAGTTGGGCGATTCGAAGAGATGCTCTCAGGTTTAGTAAGTATGGTAATGGTGCCCTCTGGTGGTTCAAATCTAACAAGACTAACCACACCTGAGCAAGCACACAGACCAGCCCCAAACCCCAAGGACAAGCTGAAAGAGGAAACAGGTCAAACACCTGGCAGAACCACCAGGTCTTTGTTGGTTCTACCAGGTGTTTGATCTGTTTCCTCTTTCAGCTTGTCCTTGGGGTTTGGGGCTGGTCTGTGTGCTTGCTCAGGTGTGGTTAGTCTGGGAACTATTCTTTCGTCCTTGGAAACTGTCTCAGGGTCATATCATTTTACTTGCACATAGACTTTTAAAAAACATTTAAAACAACCAACCAAAGTTACCTTTATCATGCACACTGCAGTGCTGTAATGCACAAGAGTGGAACATAATTCATTGCCTTAAACGTTCTGATATTTTCATTACTGTATAGGCTCATGTGATTTTGCATATGTTTATCAGTATTGTAAAATCAATATCATATTGATTTCTAACATATCACCCAGCTGTAACATGCATTCGTTCTTATGTGGACAGGGTGTTAAAAATTGATTTGTCAATGTCTTAAAAATGTCTTTAAAAGCACTTCGTTTGACTCAAAAAGGTACAGAAACCAAGCGCACAACTGTGCAGTAGTTGAGTAAATGTACTTTTCATTAGCTGGGCTACATCCATGGTAATCAGCAGTCTTCTTAATACCAGTAGTAGAAAGTAACAAAGTACATTTACCCAAGTGTTGCATTTAAGTTCTATGCATGTGTTACTTGTATTTCATTTTACTTTGTACATCACATTTTAGAGGACAATACTGCATTTTTCCCTTTTCTGCTTTTTTCTTATAGATATAAGTAGTGGCAAATTTGTTCATTAACATTTTACACAAAACATATAGTTAACAAATAAAATATGATGCGTAATTATTGATTAAACCAGCTATTTACATCTTGGACAGCCTGTCAGTAGATTAAACCTGGACTGTCGGCAGTGCGTGACTCTTGCTTGTCTCTGGCCTCAATTCACCTAAATAAAATAAATAAGACATTATTAATCGATCGACGATGCCAGCGCTCTGCCTGTGCTGAGCTCGGTATCTGTTGTCTCTACTCGGCTGTACGGACCGCTCTCAGGCTCCGCTCGTCCTTTGATGAAATGGCAACAACAGTGAAACTGAACACCGGGGCACAAATCCCCATTGTGGGACTTGGGACATGGAAGGTGCGTTTTTGTTTTCACTCTGCTGTCCTACCTAGCATCATTTAACAGTTAACTTGCTCAATAAGCTAGTTAGCTTGACGTGCCAACAGAAAGTATGGCTACAGACAGCAACATACATGCGTCGTGACAACTAGCTTTCTTTGAAACAACTGCTGATATTTTCCAGCATAGATTCGCATGTAATTGCATTGTGTTTGACACATGACTGCTGGTTGACGTTTTGGTCACCGTGGCCATGTAGCACCACCCTGTAGGATTTTGTGTAATGGACTTTCCAGAAACATGACTGTCATGTGCAGTCAAGTTACGGCGGGTAGACTATGTGCACTTCATTGTAGACGGATTTCATTCACTGTAATCCACTAAAGTCACAGATACTTTAGGCTGCTGTTTGTTTCAGGCACCAATTGTGAATTGTAACCTAATCCTTATGTGCTTGCTTTGCTTTTATCAGCCGTCCTCAGGTGCTACATTGCATATATCCTTTGCTCTTGAATAGTTAAAATGGCTCAAGTGCAGAGGACACATCACCCAGGGACAATGTTAAAGTGTAACCTAACAAACCTAACAAACATTACAGCCATCTTCAAATTTATTGTCCAAGGAACTGAAGTCAAACTTAAATTGCCTTTCAGACAAAAGACAGTTACAATTTGTAGTAGTAAAACCATATATAATGTTTAACCATTCATAATCTGTATATTGACATCACAAGAGTACAAATAAATAAGTATTTATTGTGATGTTATTGTGCTACAGTTTCTCCAGAGGACACGGAGTATGTTACAAGGTGTATAAATGTAACCAGTGCTAATCAATAGCAGTTACACAGTGTATGAGTAACCGGTCCTGTCTCCTTAGTCTGCCCCTGGTAAGGTCACAGAAGCAGTGAAAGCAGCCATCTCTGCAGGTTACAGGCACATCGATGGAGCGTACATCTACCACAACGAGACGGAGGTGGGAGAAGGCGTTCAGGCCATGATCAAGGACGGCGTGGTGAAGAGAGAAGATCTTTTCATAGTGAGCAAGGTGAGTTGTTTACTTCATGTACATGTTATTATTGTTATTTCTCCCACACACACACAAAAAAAGCCATTGAAACTGATGCTGCCTGTCTATAGATCTGTACTATTTACAAACTGTTTTTGATAGTGGATTCCTGAACGTGCTCGCTTGCTTACCATTGACTCTGTCCTTTCATCTCATAGCTGTGGTGCACTTTCCATGACAAGTCCCAGGTGAGGAAAGCCTGTGAAAAGACTCTCAGTGATCTTAAACTGGACTACGTAGACCTCTATCTAGTGCACTGGCCCATGGGTTTCCAGGTAAGCAAACTATGGCCTCTTCTCAGCCAGAGTGTCTGTGTTGTGTGTGTGTGATGGTGGTGTGTCTCAGTGTGGGCACTTGCTATGTTAAATGCCCTTGTACTATGCTATCTGCCCTCATATTTTTGATGAAGTATGAAGTTGATTGCAACAGCCTCAGGCTATTATATTCTTTTGTCATGTCACAGGCTGGTGGTGAGGACTTTCCTTTGGACAGTGCAGGAGAGACGATCAGTGATAATACTCACTTCTTGGAGACGTGGGAGGTGAGTTAAACACTCACCTATCAGATGGAAGGTTCATTCTGGTAAAACAAACTAAACTCAGCCAAGGGAAACCATGTTTTTTTTTTTTTTATGGTCAATGTCCTCAGGGGATGGAAGAGCTGATGGACGCTGGTTTGGTCAAAGCTATCGGTGTGTCCAACTTCAACAAGGCGCAGATTGAAGCTATTCTCAACAAGCCAGGCCTCAAATACAAGCCTGCCAACAACCAGGTATGTTAAAGGACTTGTTTACCCGAGTAATGTCACCTCGCAGTGACATTCTTGCCTCCTACACATTAGTAGAACAAAGAGATAACACTATTTCAACTAGTAACTAGTGACGACCAAATGAAGCTTATGTTCCACTGGTTCGTCAAGAGACTGATTACTCGAAGTTTCATTCAACAACATTCACTAGTGACATCCATGGCTGAAGGTGTAGCTGCCAAATCATTCACAAGCCCTTTAATATAAAGAACAATATAGCTCTGTTAATTCTTCTATTACCGCTGTGTTCATTGTGTCACTGACTCATTACTCATTAAATTAAATATCAGGACTGTTAACAAAGAAGAATGACGGGATGAAATGTGTGTGGAGGGGGATGTTCTTTTTATTAGAAAACAGAACAGGCTTGAGATGGTTCCTCTTCTTACTACTACTACTATTCCTAGGAATAAAAATAATAAATACTCCGCAAAAAACTCTAGTACAGACTGTGGTACACTTGCAACGTGTGAATCAAACTACCACCGACATCCCCCAAATGATGTGCCAAGTGTTTAAGATGCTTTTATCCTAAAACTGGTGTCATGCCCCGTGCAACGCGAAGCCTGGTTTGTCATAGCTCAAGCGGTTTTCCACAAAACAACACTAGCCACAAAGTGGGGCTTCATCTCGCACACCCCTTCTTACTCGGTACACACCTTGGAGGCTCGCCTTTAAACGTCCCTCCATTACTGGCCACTGTACAGACTGTGTACAATTGCAGCCGTTTTGGATGTGTAATATGTCTGAGTCTTGGCTACTGAGAAGCAAGAAAACAGACCCATTACAAGAGCTCTGTTCTTAAAGGGCAAGAGGCCATAATGGCATTATCTGTCCCCTGATATCAGGTCTAAGAAATAAATGTCCTGTTTAATTGTAATGGGCCACAGCAGCTTCCCCTCAGGGTGGAACAATTAGCTGAGGAGACTTTATATTTTTGCTGTTTCTCAGAACCATCATTCACCATTAATGTCTTGTTTTGTCTGGTTGTGTTGTATATTAGATTACAGCCCTTTGTCACTGTACACACCAAATATGGAACAAAAGAGCTGAACATCAGTGAATTTGTCCCTGAAAATGATGCCAAATAAGTATAGCAACAATACAAATGTCCTCTTGTGCTTCATTTATGAGCCCTCTGTGGATAATCTGACACTATATTTTCCAAATCCGGTTTTTGCACTACGCAGGAAGTAATAGATTAGTGAGAATTGAAAAATTGAATTTTGGTATTACAACAATAAAGTATAAAGTGAAAAAATAGACAGGCTTTGAACAAGACACTGAACAGTGAGTTTAGATATAGAAACATATCAATAGCCTGACGGTTACACTCAGTTAAAGCACCACTGTGCCTTGAATTGTACAAAGCAAAATCATCTTTGCCCATGTTTGCATGTATCCCGCTTAATATTTGTGATCACTCCATGGTCTCCGCGGTGCTTCCCAAGATCTGTGTGCTTGTCCAACTAGGTGGAGTGCCACCCGTACCTGACCCAGGAGAAGCTGATCAACTACTGCCACTCTCAGGGCATCTCAGTGACAGCCTACAGCCCCCTGGGCTCCCCTGACAGACCCTGGTCCGTAAGCACGACTATCAGATTTGTCACAAAATAACAAACAATATTTTCTACATCATCGCTTTGCTACGAAGTGGTCAGTGGTCAGTGGTCATTGCTTTGGTCAGTTTCGACTTGTGACTGTTGTTCCTCTTTATCTCTGTGTGGCACATTGTGACATGTTTTTGACATTTTAGTACATGTTTCATAACTGCCCACCTTTTGTGGCAGTGTTTTATTCAGAGCGCTTTTCTAAAGTGTTTCCATTAGTTTGTCTACTTTTGCAGAAGAATGCAATGTTTGAGTCCTGTAAATTATGTTTTTGAATCGCAGGGCTAAACCGGAAGACCCATCACTTCTACAGGATCCCAACATTAAGGCTATTGCAGAAAAGTACAAGAAGACAGCTGCTCAGGTACAGCACTCACACTAAGCTTGAACATATTTAAAAATGAAACTGGACTGAACAAAGTTTTAAAGCAAAGCAATCCTTGCTTTGCTTTTGTCTTAAAGTAGGACATGCGTAAATAATCAGACTTTTACTCTCAGCCATAGTAGTAGGCATTAACAGGGATGCCAGGGAGAAAAGTGTGGTTGATTTAAATACCATTCGCATGGTCCCAGCTGTTATTACACTTCAAATTGTGACCTCTGATCACGTTCACATGTTTATACCCTTCCTCCTCCTCCTCCTCCTCCCCTGCCAGGTCCTGATCCGCTTCCACATCCAGAGGAACGTGATCGCGATCCCCAAGTCCATCACGCCTCAGCGCATTCAGGAGAATTTCCAAGTAATTAGCCGTCAAATTGTTGAGATATTTTCTGGGATTATCCCTCAGCCTGCTTTACTTACTTTCCCTTTTTGGCTCGTGCATGAAAACTGTTTTTTTTAAATCATTGCAGGTGTTTGACTTTGAACTTTCTGACGAGGAAATGAAAACTGTATTAGGATTCAACAGGAACTGGAGAGTCTGTCCCATGCAGTGGTAAGACAGTATATCATTGTGCACTTTTTGTGTGTTTTGTTACACTGCTCAAAAGATGATGTGTTTCAGGCAACCATGTGTTCTCTCTCTCTCTTTATAGGAGCACGAAGCACAAGGACTATCCCTTCAATGCTGAATTCTGAAAAGGAACGTGCTGATTCTCCACAGGTTTAAAGTGGGAGCTGGGGTTTGCTTCTCTGCCTTCTAGACTGATTGCTTCCTGCTGTTTAGAGCAGTTTGCTTGCAGAAGATTTTTGTTGTCATGTTACAGTTCTCAGGAAACAAAAACACAACTTCCTTTGTTACTAGTCTTGTCTCCATACAGTTTTTACACACACACTCCAAAGATGTATTTACACTCGAGAGGCTCAATGGCTCCATTCTGGATTTTGAGCTTTGCACAAATACAATTGACTGTTAATGTCTTTTCCTTACATGGTCAGTTTCTGTTCTGTCACTTACATAGTTTGCTTGGAAACAAGAATTGAATTGCTTTGTGTCTTAATGCAGAGTAAGTTCTACTGTTTTAATTTGTGGCGTTTAAAGTTACTGAATAGCTATTCGTGCCATATCCAGATATAATATTTAATATTTTCAACACTAGTAACAGTTCCGAGTCAGGTCTCAGAACCGAAGGAATAAATTACAAAGGTATCGGCCTCAGTTAGTTTTGCGTTACATGTAAGAGGAATTAACCACCTACAGTAAATTCTCATTTCAAAATATATTTTTGTAGCACATTGGTGATACATCCAATGATATATCATATATCAAAACACTTCTCATTTATCTAAATATTTCCTCCTAATTTCCCCCTATTTTCTGTCATGGCAGTTTTTTTTAGTTTCATCACAGGGAATAGTGCCTTAGGATATAAATTGATTCAAAATTCACACTGTTGTCTCTGTGTAATCACAGAACATGTTTCCTCAGCTAGGATGACAGACTGTTTTCCACTATTATCTGTGAGTCATATGTGGCACATTGTGATCATGTGTGTTGATTGCGTTACAAAATAATCACTTGCACTTCCCGTATCAGCTGCTTTTGTAAAGTGTTACAATAAAGGCCTGTGAGAGGAAATAAAAAGGAGGCGGCGCTTGTTTTCTGCAGAGCTGAGTGGTGACGGTTCCTCTCACTTCCACTAGAGGTCAGAAAAGCTAACAGTGGGACTGAGGGGGCTGAGTGAATGAGCTGCTGGAGCCTTCAGTGGTGTAATCTACATGACACACAGGTATATACACACACACACACACGCACACAAATAGCCACAATTAAATCATTCAGTTCAGTTTTATTTTTTGGTCCTTCATTAAATGCTCCATTTTTTAAGGGACATTAAAATTAGCCTGTATTAGCCTTCTAGTTAATGTTTAAAATTACGTGCCAAAAGCGTCCTGTACTGAACATATGAACCTTATCTAACAGTCATCTAGATGAGACTGTCCATGTTTCTGACAAGCATGACTTGTAAACAGCAGTGAATCTTTATTACCCTCCTGTCGAGCAGGAAATTGAGTTTGCCCTCAAAGACAAAGCTAAAACAAACTTGTGTGCGAGTCAGCAGAAAGATCTGACATTCAAGCTAATGTCATAAAGACAATGGATTCACATTACAGACAGGTTTATTTTATAGCAAATTTCATACAGAAAGTCAGTGTATTACACAAGGAATTAAAAACAAAAAGAAATACATGTATAAGTAGAGGGGTTAAACACTATAATTACATAATTAAAAAGGGGCTACAAACATAAACGTGGTCTGAAATTAGGTTGAATACCAGTATTATTTACTGTATCTGTACTGCTGGTGCTTTTTGTTACAGTGAGTTAGCTTTCCACTACAATGGGTTATACCATAATAACATTGTAATTGCGACTGCCATCTTTACATATAAGTATAAGTATAGTATATATAAGTTTTCTAACTGTCTTTTTACCCAGTTTTTCTGGGCTCTAATTTATCATTTGTCTGTCAACTCTTTGCCTTCTATAGTCTCATGTCTACATGGATGTAGATTACGTGACAGGTCCGCATCCTAAAAAATATTTCTCCTGCCTATTTAGCATAGTGTAATAAAAACTTGCAGAACTGATTTGAAATAGTGTGTAATAACCCGCCCAACGTCTGTGCGCAGAACATCCCGTGACCTTCTTTGTAAACTTACTTTGTCACAACAAGCAGCCCGCTGAAGTAGTTCCTTAGCATTTTGTAGTGATCACTTTCACTCCCATTTATTCTATGTCATCTCAATTATATTTGAATAAAACAGGAGATACTCAACCTCCAGCAAACGTTTAATAATTAGAAGTCACGCCTCTGCCTCTGTCTTGATAAGCACATTAGTCGGGTAATTGTTTTAATAACACAACATGTGGAATTTGATGAAAACAAGTGGCTGCAAAGCAGAAACTGAGAAAGTTTGTCATCTGAAGAGTTAGTATTCAGTGTTCAGGGGGAAGTCTTTGTGTTTTGAGGCCCTTGAAGGAAAAGAAGAAAGGTTACGATGGTTAACTCATAATGACAATGTAATCTATTTCTCTCTTTTCGCAACCGTCTTCCCGTCTACTCACCAATGCAGTGTGAATCCTCTCCAATTCTTGTTCAAGCTCAGCAAGGTCTTCATGTCTTCTTCACTCAACTCAAAGTCAAACAACTGAAAGAGAAAGAACAGCTAAGCGACTCACAGCCACAGAAGCTGCCTTGTGTTCCACATGGATGGAGCCCGACAAGTATCGCCCACACACAAAAAAATAACGAATGTTGAAATGGAAGCATAAAGCGCATAATCAGAATTTCAAAAAGCTAAAAACCACTAGATCTGAATTATCCAGTATGAATACACCGATCCTGCTTCTGAGATTGAGATCGATATACCTGGAAATTTTCCTTGATGCGATGGGGTGTTATTGACTTTGCAATGACAATCACATTCCTCTGGATGTGGAACCTGATGAGAACCTGTTAAGAAAACCAAAACCTTATTTAACTGTTATTCAGCCATCCTCCTGAACATGGTTGCGTGACCACATTTTTGGTGGATCATCAAACACAAGTACAATACTGTACTGTTTAATTTCCCATGTTCAGAGTTTTATAACAAACCCTTTCATCCACCACGTGACGGTACTGACTTTCTCCTTGCGGACTTCTGTTATATAAGCAGTCCATAATTTCACACAAAGCCATTATGTCCATATCGGATGTTTCCTGTGTGCACCCACTGGCCGAAACAGATATCACTACAATGCAACATCTGTTTGTTCACTTGTTTTTGCTGTGCACTCGTGCTGCTGCTGTCCGGTATGTAATCTACAACAAACCAATACAAGTATACTTAAAAGTGCATATACTATGTGCTCACATATGACATATTATGCTTTGTAGTTATGAGAATGAAATACAATGTTAAAGTGAAGTAAATTAACCTGCTTGAAAAGACATGACAAAGATGTTTTTTTGTTTTTTTTTTTACTTGTGCTGGAGTCTTCTTGTACTTTTCAGCGATGGCCTTGATCTTAGGTTCCTCCAGCAGAGAGGGTTCATCAGATGAAGCCCTTTTTTTAAATAGGTACGGAAATAAATGAGTGACAGTTGAAATATAATGGTGCCAACACTTTTCTGTGAGCACTGTGTGTAATATGTGACATTTCCTCTCACCAGGGTCTGTCAGGGGAGCCCAGAGGGCTGTAGGCCGTCACTGAGATGCCCTTTAAGTGGCAGTAGTTGATGAGCTTCTCCTGGGTCAGGTACGGGTGGCACTCAATCTGGGGAAACGTGCAGATGCTTTTATTTTCTTCTTGTGCTATTTTACAGTAGGTATACAACGATGCATGTTGGAAATCTTGCTTCGCACCTGGTTGGTGGCGGGCTTGTACTTGAGGCCCGGCTTGTTGAGTACGGCGTCAATCTGATCTTTGTTGAAGTTGGAGATGCCGATGGCCTTGACCAACCCAGCATCCACCAGCTGTTCCATGGCCTTTCAAACACATTATACACTGGTATTAGTGATAGCTTTGTTAGATCACAAGGATTGTCAGTTTAAAATTTAGCACAATGTCACTTAAATTACCTCCCAAGTGTCCAAGAAGTTGCTGCCGTCAGAAATGACCTGGCCGTTCTCATCTACAGGAAAAATGTCATCACCTGGCTGAAGTTAAAAAAAATGTAAAAAATGTTGAAGTCAGAACATGAAGTTGGATGGAAATGTTAAATGGGGAAACACGTCAGTCTGAATTCAGAGAGGTTACAACATGTAACTGTTGCCTCATTCTCTCAGACAGATAAAATAGGCCAAAGGTGAGTGAGTTTGCTCTCCTCTATGGCCAGCACAGGACAGTGGCATCCAAACCTTGGTTCCCATAGGGAAGTGCATGAGGTAGAGGTCCAGGTAGTCCAGTTTCAGGTCACTGAGAGTCTTCTCACATGCTCCCCTCACCAGAGATGGAAGGTGGAAGGTGCACCACAGCTGTTAAAAACAGAGTTGATGTGGGTGTGATGGTGGTGATGTTGTAGTGTTAGTGGATTAAATAATACATTTTAACCTGGAACAACCAAACCACAAGCTTACATACATTACACACATACATGTAGGTTATTTCTAGTGTTTGAAAAGCCCCTATGGGTGCATTGACTTCGGCTGCACCGTACCTTACTGACGATGAATAGATCCTCCCTCTTGACCACTCCTTGATCAATCATGGCACGAACGCCAGCTCCAACCTCTTGTTCATTCTGGTACACATAAGCACCATCGATGTGTCTGTAACCAACGCTTATAGCCTCTTTCACAGCCTCAGTGACCTTTCCTGGATCTGCCTGTAGTGGTGGGATGATACAAAGAAAGGAAATTGCTGATGAGTTAAGAAATAGATAAGACACAGTGGTAGTGATGGGTGTCTGTTGTGTGTTGCTGCGGCTTCATATCAGTGAAAAATTCTATTTATTAAATAGTCAATAGTGAGACATGGATATAGAGGCCATGTTGTCATTGGCAGTGCAACCAGTATAACTGCTCCTACACTAATCTTTTCAGGCCTGTGGGCGGAAACGTAAATATCCATTCTCCTGGAGAGAGGAGATAATGTTGATGTCAGTCAGTGAAATTAAGCACGTCATTGTGCTGCAGTTGCAATACTTCAAAACAGGCATCTCTGAACTGTTGAACCTACTCTGCAAGTACGGTGGATTCAGGCAGCAAGGCAGTTGATTCAACACACAGTGCAGTTGATACAGAGCTAAAGCTAAAATACAAAGTCCATCCAGCTGGATTTTCTGGCACATTTGGTGAGAGGCAGGGTCAACCCTTCTGCCACAGAGCTGCTTAAACGTATAACATGGTCAGCCTTACCCTCCATGTTCCCAGACCCACAATAGGCATCTTTGCTCCACTGTTAAGTGTAACTGCAGGTATCATGTTGAAGATCTTTGCAGTTCTCAGTCTTGCAGGGTCAATCCAAGCAGCCGTTCGTGCAAGCAGACTCTTACTGCACTACACTGAGAGAGGAGGCAGCCTGTTGTTTAAAAGAGGAGGGGTTAATGGGCAGAAAGAACGTCCTTCTGGGTTTGATTAGTCATGCCTTCTTTGAAGAACATGTGTTCAGATCATAGAGAGATTTTAGTTAGTGAGATTTTAAGACAAGAGGCACCACGGGGGGTCAGCACAGTTGGTGTGATTATATTTATTTGTACAGCATGAAATCCGTGCAAGAGTTTCTACGAATTGGAAAATAACTGCTTTCATATTCTCAGCAGGAGTCTGACCAGTCGGAAACAAGGTTTAATCAGTTGTTTGGGGCTTCTGTCTTGTGTGCAAAAGGAGGGACTTTTTTTGTTCTGTGTCTTGTGAATTACATAAAACAGACACAATACATCATTACATCTATGTTTTTTATTTCAGGTTTGTTTTGTATTTTACAAATTGCATCTTTGTTGCTAAAGTTATTGTATAATTTCTGAAAGAAGAAACATTCCTCATCTTACAAATGAAAAACTGAATACATTTGCAATAAAACACACCCTTGTTCTCTCCAATACATTCAGGTGGTTTTCATATAATTTGCACAGTTCGACAGTAGTTAAGCCCCGTTCAATGACATATTTAAATGTATTAAAGATGAATGTATGAAACTAGCTCCTTAATTCAAAAGGACAATCGAGCCAAAGAGAAAACAAGAACACATGTCATGTGTTTGTTGTGTTTTTTTGCCTGCGCCCTTTAGATCCAGATGAAGTTTATTGTCCACGTTTTCTTTTTTCTTCATTAGCAATAAAAGTTTGAATTTCAAACCCTTTTTTTTCACAACTTCACTGTTTCTGTAGTCACTGATCTCTGCCTTAGAGAGTAAACAGTGTATGGTCAATGGTCAAACATTTGAGGTCCAAGTTAATTGCAGATCTCAGTGACTCAGTGCATGACGTGACAGCTCAGGAGACACTGGATGAAACACAAGATACAGTGACGATCAATATTAGCACATATGTATAAAACATTAATGGGCCTCTGTGTGTGTGTGTGTGTGGGGGGGGCGGCTGGGGGGGTGACTAGGAGATCACCAACACATTGTCACATAGAGAGAAAAAGCCATACAAAAAACAGGCATCATGTAGTGTCATAAATAAATCTGAATGTTTGTTTGATATGTTCATATCACTATATCAATCTCTCAATGCAGGTGTGCTCGCACCCTCACTGGATGGAACTGGACGAAAGCTCTCCTGTGGATCACCTCTACCCTTGATTGAAATGGCCAAAATCCTGCAAGAACAAAAAGGCAAGTTGTGATATTGTTGTACTGGATTGCATGAGCCTCACGTCTGTTGAGTGACGGTGTGGCATTGCAGCTTGGCAGGCCCACAGTGGGTCACATCTTAATCTTTGGACATTTAACTGTGTTAGTGTCACTGCCATGAGGGACACAACACAGAGAGATACTAATCAACCAGTAACCTAGTCATCCTTTAGCCGGCCTAAACCACAACACGCACGTGGTCTTCAGCTGCTCATTACAGCCAGAGGATTGCCAGCTGCTACAGTTTCTGTGCTTAATGAATATTTGGGGTCACATCTCATAGCTAATCTGATGTATTGCTCTAAGAAAAATGTTTCATCCTCTTGAGTCATGTGCTGTTTCTTAAAATGTATTTGAAAGCTGCCTAGTTGAGACGCTATAAGTGAATCTATCAGTTTACACTCAAGTCTTAACTTGTTTTGAGTGTAGAAATGATTTTAAGAAAATACATATCTATCATTTTTCACGCCTCGTTACAGCAATTATCTTCAAGTACGCGTGGTTTTATTTGCCCTTTAACACTGACACAGATGACAATGACAGTTACTGAAGAGGGCCACACATACACTGTAATACAAGCTGATTGTTTTTGTTTATTTGCCTGAAAAAGATTGATGTCCTAATGCAATTGTATTATTGCATTTTCATTTTTACTTACATAACACATTTATATGTGGAACATTATAATGCTATCATGGGATTACATTTTCACGTTTACATTATTATTCTAATAAAGTCCCCTTTTGGCTTCCATACAATGTGTACTAGTTGACATTTATTCTCTAACTGATTTGATCAGGTTTAAATGTGAAAAAAAATCCAAAGGAAATGATAAGTATTCAAATAACTAACTTTTTACCATGCTTCCTACAAGTAGATATAATGAACAAACTCCCACTGCCATGTCCCAACTCATTTAGGTTCTTTTTCAAAAATATTTTTCTTATGTTTGTCAAGTTAGTTTCTTCTCCATCATGTCCTTTTCCCTTTGCCAAGTTGTTGCGGATACTGTTCTAAACCCTGCCCTCCTCTGTTAGGAAAGTACGCACTCTACTGGATGTTAACTTGAACAACAACTTTCTAGATTATCTCGTGGCTCTATAGTGACGAACATTGTTGTGTCTCATTGATGTGGGGCTGACAAAATAACAGGAACTCTTACTTCTTGGCAGGATTCATTCAGTCCTGCAAAAAGCTGTGAACTGTTCACACTGTCAGCGACTGATTATATTATTTTATATAGAGTATATTCAATATATTCTGTGGTTTGAAAATTTAGAAAACTCCTACACCTATTTTAATGTGCTAGAGGCATGTTACCTACCTGTTTGATACTAAATTTGCATTATGGCCCAAATCTAGATTTCATTCTGTTATTTACTCCTGACAATATTGTAATTAACAGGTAAACATATATTTAAAATAATATTAACATGACCTGGAACAATAAATTAAATTTCTTATTGCACCAAATTCTCCAAAACAAAACAAATGGATTTGCTCTTGTAACTTTTTATTCATTATTCAAACATTATGCAACCAATCAACATTCAGGGCACTCTCACTGTGCAGACACACACACACACACACACACACACACACACACACACACACACACACAAAGTGCAGACATCAGACAATGACATTAACATAGCACTGTCTCTGAAATATAGGCAACATGAAGAGCAAAGGTGCTAAATATTGCACATTATGATCAGTTCAGGAAACGTAACTTCTCAGTCCGTTCAGCTTCACTGGCAGACGACCCCAGGTTCTTTTGTAAGCATCAAAACAACTGGTTACAAAACAGCTGAGAGAGCACACAAACATTCTCCGTGGCTAAGTTTACCAGTCTTTGTCATAGGCCTGATGTTATTTTCCTACCCTGACTGGGTGAAGGTAGATGTAACTCTGTAGAAAGAAATTAAAACGAGGTAACAGTTCATAATGGCCAACTCGCACACATCACGGGATGTGACGCTCCATTTTCACAGCAAAATTTGATGCAAGTGCTTTCGATCCAAATTTGTATTACTTCAGCTTTACTTGTGATTGAATCTTTTAAGCTAATGAGTAAAAACCAAGAAACAAAATGTACAAATCTAGCAGTACACAATGCTAAGCTCAGCATAGCCTGGTTTTATATTAGCAAAAAGGTTCATGTTGTTGAGAGCACAATAATAGTATGGCCTAATTAGCTGCAGAATGAATGTTTTGCAATGTTACAGCTGATGTTTGAGAAATCTTATTGCCTCACTGCTCACAAGAGAAAAAATAACCTTTTTCATTCAAATGATCTGTTAGCTTTAGGCCATACCTGAGTCTAGTTAGTAGATTGTACCATCATAAAAAATGAACACAAGTAAACATAATGAACCTGGAAAGCTAAATAATGGGGAGGTATCTGAATGACTTACTACTGTGCTATGAGCAATAATGTGAGTGAGTTATTGCTTGGAAGCAGCCGTTTATCAGGCCAGCTTGGATATTTGTTCCTAGATGGAATTACACACAGAAAATTACAAAAAGCCACACAAAAACAATTTTCTATTCCACCAAGTGATAAATTAGCGATCAATTCCAAAACCACACTTAAAAGCTTAGCAGTGTCCTAAGCAGCTGCCCTCCGTAGAGAACCAATTTCTGCTTGTCTCAGGAACAGTCAGTGAAGGTTGTCACCATGTTGCCCCTACGCTGGGTCACTGTCCTGCAGTGTTGCTTTCCCGAGCTCTGGAATCTGCTTTCAGTCCTGGAACCGTGCGAGTTAAAGGAGAACATCTTCTCCAAGTCCTCAAACATGTCATCAAAGAGTCCTCCACTGAACTGTCTCCTCTGCCTGTTCATTGCCTCCTGGTGAGCCTGGAAGTGGCTGTCAAAGTGTCTCTTTTGATGGGCCTGACTTTGAGAATGGGAATGGGAATGGGAGTGGGTGTGGGAGTGGGAGTGAAAGTGGTGTTGGTGTCGTTGTTGTTGACCAAAAGTGTCATAGTCTTTGAAGATGTCATCAAAGTTGAAGTTGAAGGACTGGTAGTGCTGGTTGAAGTTATGGTTGCCACCTCCACCTCCTCCTCTATGGCCCTCCCCTGGTGATGGACCATGGCCAAACTGGTCATACTCTCGCCTCCTCTTATCGTCTGATAACGTCTCATATGCTGCAAGAGACAAGGAAGCATTTCATTACTTATTGTGTCGGTTGCTATGACACTGCCACACAAACATATCTGAATATTTCTACTTTAAGCAACGTGGCAATGTTTCTTATCTACTTTTGTCAATAGTAGACAACATAAGTTTCCATTTCACATACATAAGATTAAATGTTTGACTTTTCCAGTGCAATTTTCTTTTAAGAAAGACCCATTATGTGAGAGTGTGCCTATAAATAGTTCCTTATACATCCAGTTTCACTTTTGGCTGTTGTTATAATGGTATCACATGACAACACAAAACAGGTTATCAGCAGTATTACTCTTAGGAATGTCTTTAAGAGAAGGAACCAAAATCATAAAATGTGTTGGTTAAAAATCCTTCTGGCACACAAGAGACCTGATCTAAAAAAGAATATTGAGTCTACATTGTTACTGTTAGTCCTCTATTGTAGAAAGACACAATGACTAACTTACCCTCTGCTATTTCTCTGAACTTGGCTTCGGCGTCAGGGCCTTTGTTTCGGTCAGGGTGGTACTTCAGGGCCAGCTTATGGAAGGCCTTCTTGATCTGGCGATCAGTGGCATCTTTGGTCACCCCCAGCATGTCATAGTAGTCTCTCTTGGCCAAGATGAACTCTGAGATCAGCAGAACATGCACTGCAAGCAGCAACACAGACTGTGCTGTGGCCATACTGCTGGTTTTGGCACCTTTGCGACTGTGAAGAGAGAGAGGACAGTTTGACAGCTCCGTTAGCGACGTTTTTCACACCCCTGAGATACAGGAAGACTTTCTCAACGGTTATAAATTACAAGATTCTTGTACCAACTCTTCAAACAATAGCCAGAAAAAAGCATATATAGCGTTGTTAAATAACTGTACTTTTTGCTAGCTAGTTTCAACGGAGAGAAGAAAAAAGAAAATGACAACTCACTGTTTTAGTGGAATAAGGGAGAAGCATAAATAAGCTCTGCCTTCTTAATGACACTCTATTGTTTGTTGTGGGTTCTAGATTAACCACCCAAGACAAAAAAAACGTTAATGCGTCGTGGAGAAGAGAGCTTACCTGGAGACAGGGTGACACAGCCGGGGGACAACTTCTATCAGCTGCCGACACCTCCAGCTGATGCGAAACGAAATCTAGCAATTGTTGACGAACTGCATTCCTAAACTGTAACACCACGACTCGCAACGCTATTGGTTCATTTCTTAACTCTGTGACTCAGTTCGCTCTGATTGGCGGAAACAGTGCGCACGTGGAGAATGTTGCATAGCCCGAAGAGACTACAACCGAAGCAAGAGATTAAACCGCGCACATTTCCGTTTTCGCTTAATCGATTGAGCTGTGAGATCTAAACATGTTTTCAGCCGACTAAATAAAAGTATGTTTTTTTATCATTTTATTCTGCATTATTTTATTATTCTCTTCTCATATAAAATAGCTGATGAATCCTTAAAGGTCACGTGTCTTAATTTATTTAATTACTTCCATATAGTTGTGCAACCGTTTGTAGTCGTGGAAGGTACGTTTACTGTCTTGAAAACAAACGTCACTTCCGCTAGGAGAACTACAACCCGGAAGTGACACTTTTACGAGCTGTTTTGTGTTGTCAAAACATTTTAACTGCAAACGTGTCTCAGTGAAGCGTTTTCATGTAGTCTCACTGCAGACATGCCACGGTACTGCGCTGTAAAAGCTTGCAGAAACCGCGGAGGAAGTGCTTCCAGACAAGACAACAAGAGAATTAGCTTCTACCCGTATGTTTTCTGTTTGCTTTCTGGAGTGGCTCCAAGTTGAAATTTCTGTTAGTTTGGCTGCAAGTGCTTATATTCTGTTAATTGTAGCATCTTAATCAAACTTAATATTGGTTATATAGGAATTTAGAAGTTAGCATTAATGTTATATTAGTGGTATACAATGTATGTCATGGTTACCTGTTTGTAGTAGTACAGGTAGAGACTGTGAGACCTTTGGAATGAATGAGATGTAATGATAATGTTAGAAATGATGAGACATTCAAGTGAGACTGATACTCCCCTACTGAAACCTGCCTGTAGTTTCAGCTTCAAAAACAGCCATTTACATTTCCCTCTCTTTACCCCTAAGGTTTCCCTTGCAAGACAAGCCCAGGCTTCAGAAATGGGTGGACAACATGAAGCGAGAGGAGTGGACCCCGAGTCGGCATCAGTGCCTATGCAGCGAGCACTTCACAGAGGACTGCTTCGATATTCGATGGGGCATCCGCTACCTGAAGAACACAGCCATCCCGACCATTTTTCCCTCCAATGAGGATGTATGTGTCTGTGTTGCTTTCCTGTCTCAGTGTCTGTCACAGTTCCATCATGAAGAAAGGGCTTGCTGCACTCCGCAAATTAGCTGTGGACCAACTTAGACATTTTTCTGCAAGAGTAAGAGCACAAGCCAAATGCCAAAATGTGCAAGATCACATTTTCTTGCAGTAAAAGCAAAGACGTTTTGGTTTGCAGCAAGCCTGTTCTTAATGTATTATTCTTGTCACTCATATCAATTATATTGCTCTGCGGGGAATTTCTGATTTCTTGTCCATCACAGTTCCTTTATAGACATGTAGCTTGTTACAGTATTGTGCTTTCACTTGCACTGACTTTTGCGTAATCTCATTAAATAAACATTCCTTTCCTTTTTATCTCAGGATGGTGAGAAAAAAGGGACCACCATTAAAAGGAGCCCCAAGGCCAAACCCAGGACATTAGAGATTGACATTGAGCCCACAGGATTTGACTGTCCCCTCGGTAAGAGGCCACTCATTTTAAGCAGAACATGCAAAAAGTTCCATTCAAGCACATCAAACAACACTGTTGCTGAACACACAGAGATGGTATTTGAACTGCCTCTGGTGTCAGACACTGGCATCTCCTGTCATGGGAACCAGTCAGACATACAGACTGCTGCTTGTGAGGTACCAGGTGACAGTGGAATGCCAACAGTGTCCTGCCTCGCACTGTCCCCATGCGCTGAGCCCCATTCTGAAGAGCTTGCTGACTCCACTGTGACTGTGTTGTGCTGTGAATCGCTGGGCCCTTTCTCAGATGGAGAGGCCATTGTGGATGCAGCTGCCCTCCAAGCAGCACTGGGCCAGGCTTTTCGCCTTGTTCCTGTAGAAATGGTTAAGGACGAACCCACAGGCTGCTTTCTTGGGGAGGGGGTACCCAGTGAGGGAGAGCACATTTCTGTTTACGAGCACTCGTACTGCAGACCGGACACAGACAAAGATCAGCTTTGGAGTAAGATCTTGAGTTTGCATTCGAAGATATTGGAACTGGATCACAGGGAGGAGAGCACGGTGGCTAAAATCCATGCTCTTGAGACTGAGATAGCCCTCCTGAAGAGGGATGGGGCTGTTTTTAAAGAGAAACAGAAAGTTTTAGAAGATTATATATCGTCCATGTTGCTCTGATTTTGGACCAATATTGTGGATGTGGTTGTACTTTAATTGTTACCATTGAGTCACTTTTGCAAACATCTTGCACATGCTTCTATAGATGCCATACATAAAACACAGAAATAATAATAGTGCCTGATTTTACACAACTTAATTGGTACTTGGTGTTCTCAATATTGCTCTCACATTTCCATATTACAACTGTATGTCTTCTTATGTCCACATGGTGGCACTGTACAACCATTTTTATTGGCAGCACAGATTTTCAATGGTTTGTTGCTATGCATTTTTGATAGATATTCAAGATTCTCTGTTCCATTGTGTCATCAACACCATATGCTAACTTATTAACAGCTCTTTTGCTGTTTTTATTATACAATGCCATCTGCCTGTTATGATGTTTTATCATCTGGTCAGTGTTTGACAGTTGTCTTTGTTACTCTATAATCTCTGTTGTTACTATATAATTTAATGGTGTTGTTTGTTGTTTCACCGGAGTCAGAATTCATGACTTCATTCATGTAGTCATTCTTATTTTCTGTCTATTTACATATGAATAGGATTTGAGCTCATTTTATGATTCATGATGACGAGGGTTCAGAGAAGCAACAGGTCATGCCATGTTTTGCACGGACACATGCAGTTTCTTCTTCAATCTGCGCTTTTACTTTTGAGTTACAAGAAAGGTCCTCTTAGCGCCCTGCTGCTAAAGTGCTGTATTTTTGTTATAATTAAGTCGTAATGATGACTTTTTAAAGGACCCCAAGTGAATCATCACTTTTTAATACTTTGATATACGGAAAATTTTTTTCCTTTTTAACTTTCCTTTTAACTTTAACTGTAACACAGACTGTTTGTTTTGTAAGATCACATCAAATCAATTCTTTTAACCCTGTTCAAAGAACAGCATTCACACCTGTAATAGCACAGACTTCACAGTCCTGGAATCACTAGCAATCATGCTCAAATAAGCAGAGGCTCAGTTTATTTCAGCCCTTTGCTTGATTTCCAGTAGCACATTGTCATTCTACGCAATCTTCTGCAAAATGTTCAGCTCTACAGAAAAATGAGCAGTGGATTTACTTTGAAGTAGGGTGAGGTGTTCTTTGAATGTTTTTCTTAAATCATGTGTGCCTCTGGGGGCTGTGGCTTTTGATTTAATCAAGCAAAGCATTCAGAAGTGCATTACATAATTGGACTAAAAAGGCAGTATACATCCATGATGTTGGCATGATGGAGTTTCTGCTTGTTCTTGCTTGTCATGGTAAATGCTATTTGATTTGATGTACTTTCATTCTCCAAACCAGCTGTGTAGCAGAGGGAATAAGAGAGGGGCAGGGGAGAGGCTAAATTGGTTTTTGAATTAATTACAAAATGACTGATTGCGCATATGAAAGGATGTGGAAAGTGCAATTTCAAATGACTTCAGGGTGTTACAAGATGACACATTTCCCTGCTCAAGAGTGATACTGGTCCCTGCCGCACCAGCAGTGAATAAGAGAATGGATTATTGAAATTAGTAATGAAATGACATTGTTGTAATCCTATTGCTCCTAATCACGGAGGGAAGACAAAACGCCATCTCACTGAGATCTCCTGGCAACAAAGGAGCAAGGAACAAATCCTATAGAAGCAAGTGCAGGCCTTGATCTCAGTGTATAGTGGAATAATATTACTAATCTTTGTTTATTGCAAAAGGAGAAACGGAAATGAACAACTGATGATCAATAAAATAGGACTCAGGATAAATGTTTTTATAATAAAATAAGTATAGTAACATCAGAACATAACAGACTGACAATAAGATTAAATAAGCAAAGGCCTCATGATAAAAGTCCATTTTAAAAAGCTTTTTCAAAATTGAAAATTAAAGCCAAATCTCTTTGTGTTAATCTGTTTAGATAATGACAATGATAAATTCCAACAGGTTATTTACATCTATGCTACAGAATCAGATTCAGGTTTCCCTGTCAGCTGCAGGTAAATTAAAGAGGGTGACATCAGTGCCATAAATAGTAAATTATCATTTAATTATTGTATTAAATGTCAGGAACAGTATTTTCAGTGTTTACTTGTGATCATGCAGGAAGCAGTTTAAAAAAAGAGAGATTCAAATAGCTCGTGTGTACAGTTCACAACACCCAGCAAAGAAAACATTACAGTACATGAAATAGTTAAATATGGATGGTGTATGCTCCGTTTATCTGTACAGTGTGTATAGAATGCCTGATTGTTTTTGAAATTGTGTTAATATTCGTCTCAGAGTCCTCCGGCACTGAATGAAAGACAGTATTGTATTATGTGCAAACATTGTTACTCCTGTTCTAAACTTATGCTTGCATACTTTTAATATGCAGTAAGTACTGTGTGTGTCATCTTGGTTCACAGCTGCAAACTATTCTGCTAAAACGTGAAATATGTGTTTTTCTGTTATTCATGATGAAACATGTGACCACTGACAAAATACTGTAAGATGCAAACAGAGATCAACAGAAATCCAGTCTTATATCTACAAGCATGCATTGGCAGAAACTACAGATTAAAAAAAAAAAAAAAACAGGATCCATGATGGATTTTTAGTTCTCTGGATGTCAGATATCCTGATGAGATACTCAGGTCAGGCGTGTATGAGCTCTTGATATGTAATGTCTAACGGTTTTGGCACATGCAGGTCTACCATTTTAGCTGTAGTAGATATAAATCCAGGGGTTGGTGCAGCTGTTGAGACTGGCCAGCAGCATGATGATAGCAAACACGGGACCTGAAAGAGAAAGAATAGATGACGTATGGGCCTTCAACAAAGTGACAGTAATTACCAATTAGGATATATTTGGTCCTTCAGGTTTGGGGATCTACTTTTTTTTTTTTTTTCCAAATAGACAAACCTTGACTAGGCGCACTGCTTGGACTCCATGCAGACCACAACTGTGCAACAAAAAATGGGCTCCAACACACGGTGTATGTCATTATAATAACAAATGTCATCTTCACAGTCTTGAGCATCGCGTTGGACACCCCCTTCGTGTCTGCGCGCCCTGCCTGCAGCGCCTTTCTCTTCATGTTGAAGTAGATTGTTGTGCATATTCTTATTTGGCAATAGAGTAAAATGACGGCAGGTATGGCAAACACTGACAGGGTGATCCAGCTGATGTAAACCCTGCTCCCCCACGGTTCAATAAATGTCGCCCAGCAGTCGTACTGGTTCTCCCCCACCTCCTGGAGAGAGAAGATGAAGAACTGAGGAGCGCTGAAGGCGAGCGAGAGCAGCCACCCTGCGCCTATGGAGAGATATCTCCTAAATGAGCCATTCAAGAAGGAAACCATCGGTTTGCAAACCGCATGGTACCGGTCTAAAGTCATAGCCACTATCATGTACGCGGAGGCAAACATCCCAACCACTTGCAAGTATTTTACCAACCGACACAGGAAGTCTGTGCCTCGGAACCTGTGCGTAATTTCAATGGAAAACTGCGGCAGGACTTGGAAGAAAGCCACCACCAGATCAGCCAAACACAAGTGCAAGAGGAAAAGCTGGGTCCTTGAGTTTCTTTTTCGCTTCTTCCAAAGTGTGCCTAAGAAAAAAAGATTACCAGCCGTTGCCAGCACAAAAACCAAACCCAAAATTCCTGCTCGGATGAGCGCAAAATGTTCATACACCTCTCCATCCATATCTGGTGCCATTTCAGAGTTGTTGCTGCTGGAATCCATTCTAGCGCGAATTCCTGATGTTTCCCACAAGACTCGTAACTTCAAGGTTCAATCAACATTTCCGTGCATTATCAAGGTGTTGGAATATTGACAAGTTGGCGCGGGAACATCTCCACATTCTCCTCCTTTGGCGCACCACGATGCAAAGTGACTGCGGGGGCTGCGAGGAGCGAAACCCATCGACTTGAAGGGGAGAGAGGGGTCAAAGTTGTCAGTGTTGACTGAATGTCAATATGATAATTATGACATTCATATGCACACAAATATTGAAATCTAGGAAATGACTAGAATTGACCAATGTCGTTTTTTACTCCTTGGACCCATAACCTAAAAATGCACTTTGAAATGGAAATCTTTTCACCCCTGAACTGTTTAAATGTATTATTAATCTTTATTAACCTGTAACTCCTCAGAACTGACTGACTGTCTTAAGTGGTCCTCAAGTGCTAAAATGCTTGTATTCTGTTGTAGATTACGCTTAATCTTTTGAGTTTTTCAGATCCAGAGATTGTTTTCAGTGAGAGTGTAAGTGCATCAGGAGTAAATACTGTATACCTTCCAGATGCTCAGGTCCATTACTGATGTAGCAACTGATTTAGTATTAATGTCATAATGTTTTTGCATCTTACTTGCATTGCAAATATCTGGTTTTGAAAGAGCAGCTGAGAAAACCATTGCATCAGTGGTGAAAAGAAAACATTGCTATACTCCACTGATAAAAGAGGCAGGCTGGACAGTAATTCACTTGGAGTTTCCATAAAAGCTCTGAAATTGAGACTGAAGAGACAGACAGGCAGAGACAGAGATGATATTGTCCTCCACAGAATACAGATGTCTTACTGCAATGGGAAGAACATGCCCTAAAAACTCATTAAACATTCAGTAAACCAAACCTCCTGGGACACAAATAACATTTATATTTCCAGCTGAAGATATTAATAATAACTTAAGCACCACCCCATACACCACACTGATATAATCACTTGCTGTCAAAAGCATACTGTATCTGATGATTTTTCTCTCAATACCTTTTTGAATTGTACAGAACAATGCATCTTGATAGAGGGACATGCATAGTAATTAACAGAGTGATGGTGGGGAAATATGCAGTAGTATCACCATGAAGGAGCAGTGGCAATAAAAGGACTATGATGTCATCACCGCTTCACCCATGACAAATGAAACATAATATATACTTTCTATGTCAAAGCAGGGTGTCCATAACGGTAATGTAGGCATGAGGCAGAAGAAGATGATAGTATTTAAGTGTTGTCAATCATCTTTGCTTCTCGAGCCTCTTGCTTTCTGCTGAAAGTGAACAGAAACTGTTAGTAAGAGTGAATATTGTTCCTGAAAGAGGGTAATGTTCTGCTGAGGTATTCTACTAAGGAAGGGCAATAGTAAACAGAATGCTAGACTGATTTTTTATCCATTTACTGTATGATACTATGGCAATTTATTACAATAGTGTACATCCACATAGGGGCGTCCATTTGGTCTCAATATCGGTAGGGATGAAACAACCCCGCCACAATTCCAATAAAAAGTCATAATATAGTAGGGAATAAAAAGTCGTAAAAACAACATACTTTAGTACGGTATAAAAATGTCACAATATACATAAGCATGAAAATTCATAAAAATGTCATGTTATATTTAGGCTTAAAAAGTCATAAAAACTACATAGTATAGTAAGGCATAAAATGTCAAAGTATAGTAATGCATGAAAAGGCATGAAAATGGACCAAGAAAATGCCTGATTCTGAGGTATAGTGAATAAAAGGTTCAAGTACAGATCCATCAGGTCATAGACACATTTTTTTTTTCCCTGACCTGATTTGACTTTTTATACACACACACCATTAGTGTTTCATTCCTCTTCATGTGAACAAGATCTTCTTGAAAAGACACCTCCACATGTATTAACCTTTATCAGGGCAGCAATCTGCCTGGATCTATCAGATAGTGGGCCTATTATTATAATTACTGACTAACACATCAATCTTCAGCCATTGTTTCACACTGTACATGATCCAACCCTCTAGGCAGTGAAATACCATAAAAATCAGGACCACAAAAGCCAGGTGATGTTATAACACAACTCTTGCTGGCTTTGATTCACTGTTTCATTTTGACTGCAAGACATTCAGAATGTGAACTATTATTTTCAAAAAACACTGTTGCCCCACTGATTTTAAAACCGTTATGAACAATAAGTGATTGGCAACTGTGTGTGCATGTTAATCGAGAAAAAGAGAGATTGGTTATTGATAGAACTTCCAAGAATGTCATTACCTCTAATATTTAATCATTGATTACTTCAAGCCAAGTACAACCCTGCCTGAAGGGTGCAAAGATTTTTTTAGGCAGACACATTCAGCTGTTTTCTGTTCAAGACACAAATGGTCACAGTGATAGTTAAACATGTATTATAGTGTTGTCAGTGCATTAATATGTCTGAAATCCATTGCAAAATTCTTAACACCTGTATTTGTAATTTCTCAGTTCAGTTTTTGCAATGAAAATATTTGTTCTTTTTATTATGACGATGTTTTGTCGATATCTAGTGGCAGAAATACAGCACTGCATAATAATATAGGCCATCTGCGTCACTTCCTCTCTTCTTCCTGTTTAGTTTTTCTAACCAGCACCACCACATAGAATGAAACATTTCGGCGACACATTTAACGGTCTGTGTTTTGTAAGGTAAGAAGAGGACAATTTATTATGTTAAATTGTGTGAAAGTCGAAAAACTGACAATACGCCGTTCATTCATTAACGTGGCTAGCAGCAGCAAATGAGGTTGTAGCTAGTAAACGTTTCGCAATGTACACAGCTATCTGCTTAGCAAGCTAGCTTTCAAACATCATGCTTATGAGGTGTTTATTCCTTCAAATAAACATATAATATAACATAAATAGTGTCGCAGTCTTGAATACGTCTGACATTTAGCGTTGCACCAACTGTGAGGTCCAACAAAACAGACAATTCAGAAGCAGTGAATGAGGACTGGCAACTAGCTTGTCATTTTCATTTCGAGCTATTTTATTTCGAAGTGGCTAGGGTAGCATAAAATTCAAAGCCACAATGTGGGATCTAATGACAGCACTGGTATTTTCGCAAGGATTCAGGAATCTTCTGGGTGGTTCTGTGGTGTCTAATGACAGTCGATTCAAAACTGCACCGCATTTCGGAGCAAAGTCTTGCTCTCAATAACGTCCGCCAGCCACTTCTCTCTGAATCTGGTCCTCCCCGGCGTGTGTACCAGCCTATTTGACTCCACCACGAAGTGCACCTCCACGGGCAGAGTTTGGTCTCTGACTTTAGAGGTGTCCATGATGAAGTAGACACTAGCCGTCCCCTGAATAGGCTTCCGCGGTGTCGGGGTGCTAAAGCGTGCCCGGTAGTGGTAGAAGGTGTGATGCCCCTCCTCGGTCGTGTAGAGAAAATCCAGACTGTAAAGCCAGCAGGGCTGCACCTCCCATGTTTGGATGTATTCCCCAATCTGCTGTTTCCCCACTTCCATCGTGAAGTCTTTGTTTGCAACCCACTTAATATTCTTCAACTCACTCTCAGGAGAGTTTCCCTCCTGCTCCTTCGTGATAGTGTGGCGGTGTTTCTCCAGCAGGGTTTTTACAAGTTGAGCTGACTCCGCTGTGAAATTGTCATTAGGTGAAGGTCCGTGAGTTTCCATATTGTCCCTGTAACACTGGTCAATATACAGGAAACCTATTTTGCAAAAGCTGCTCTCAGCATCTGTTGTTGTTCGAGGTGTTGCTATGGTTACCAAGGCCCTCTGTTGGCCCAGTTTTTACTTGCAGTGTTGACTCCTGCCATATAGATGGTGTCTTGTTTTAAATTTTTTGTGCACACTGTCTCTTGAGATTATTTCTATTTCATCCTTTTTCCAGGAAATTGTGGAACAAGCAACATTGATACTTCCCCTTCAAAATGGATTTTCCACAGAATCCACTGTAGTTTGTTGCAGGCAGCCCACCAGGATGCTGCATTATTTCACACAGACATTAAAGCATTATCCAGTTGCCTGATTGACCTAAAGTTCCCCCGTTACTGTTCCCAGTGAGCAGACGCATGTCGCGGATCAGGACCACGCTCGACAGTGTCACCAAGGCAGTAGGCAGCACAGACCTAATTTCCAAGTTCTCCCGTCTGAAGCCTGGCAGCTCTGCAGTCGACAGCACCCATGTGGAAAAAGCCCTGGTCAAAGCAGAGACCGTAACCTCAAACAACACAGCTACTCCCTCACCACCTGAAACCACCATGAAAGAAGACGAAGAAGGTGAGAGGAACACAGCAGAGGAAGAGTCAGAAAAGCAATTGCACAAAGTTACAGAAAAGCCTTTTGTTGTCACCAAGAAGTCAACATCCAGTTTAGCTTCAGCGGCAAGTGTGCCTGGCCCGAGCTCGTCCTCCACTGTGGCAAAACAAACTATGCAGCTGTTTCACCCAGCAGCTCTTTCAACCAATATGGATGAGACCTACAAAACTCTGGCTCAGCACATCAATAATTACTTTGGCACCAACACACAGGTAGAAGATGGAGAGAACAGGCCACTGCAGCAGCACAGAGGAGGGGATGATCCTGCTTGTGAGCCTGTTCCTCACCTTACCCCTCAGAGAACAGGGGATCACATTCCTATTTTGTCTCCAGTGGCAGAGTCTAAGAGTATTGAAGCGCCAGCTACCTCTCCTGTCCCTCCTTCACCATCAGAAAAGCTCAGTCCTCCAGTAGGAACGCCCTCTTCTGACACCCCTGCAACAGAAAATGCAGCTCAGTCCATCCCTGTACCCACTACCTCAACTAAAAAAGGCTTCACCCACTATCTATCCTACCCTCGTCCCAGCGTTCAGGCTTTTGTTGGTAGTTACATAGCTCCACTGGTCCCCAAATTCAGAGGTGACTCCAAAAACATCCCACCTGAGAAAGAGAAGGCTTCGGCCATCGCTGGGGAAGAGCCCACTGCAGACAAAGCAGGAGAGAAGACAGACAGTGAAGAGGAGAAAGTGGATAAAGTGAAGCAACAGCAGTTGACTCAAAGGCAGAAGGTAAAGTGCTCAGTATTGCTCTAAGGATCATTGAATGCTCAAGGGAGTCCAAAAAGCAAAATGAGAAAAAACATCAGTTATCAAATGAATATGTTTTCTGTGTTTTCTGCCAGTATTATATAAAACTGCATTACTAGGTTGTTAAATTTCAACATAGATCAAAAAACCTTTAATATGACCTTATATTTTATTAGACGGTTCTAATTTTTTGTTCCTGCTGTCTATTTGTCATGCAGATAATAGCCAGGGTGAGTGTGGACAATAGGACCAGAGCTCTGGTGAAAGGCCTGCAAAGGGTCACTGATGTCAAACTTCTTGCTTCTCGGGTGGAGGAGCTCAGCTATCACCTCCTGGAGTTCCCAGAGACCCGAGGTGTCGCTATCAAGGTTAGTGGGGTTTTTTTTTTGTTTTTTTTTTAAGTTAGAGGGGTCGCAAAGTCCTTAAATGTTTTTGCAACTGGGAAATGTAGTAGTCAGTATGTTTGTGTGTAATTGTGACCTTTAGGAGAGTGTGCTGCCCTGCCTGCTGCGTTTGCGCCAGGCCAGAGACCTTCCTCTTCAGGCCGCTGTGAGAGAAGCGCTGGCCCTGGTTGGCTACACCGAACCAGTCAAAGGAAGAGGAATTCGGGTCCTGGCCATAGATGGAGGGGGAACACGGTACAGTTTTTAAGGATATGTGACATTTTCCGTATTAAAAAAACAGCTCTCTGCTGATTAATATAAAATGATACAACCTGCTTTTTGCTGTTCTTACAAGCAAATGTTACTGTGGCTAAAGAAAGGAGTCATACTGACAGAAACTAGAATTCCCAGTACTTGCTCCACTGTTTGACTGACAACTAACAAAATATTAAAACTAATTTAGTTAAATTGCACCAGAGAAAAATATAAACAAAAAATTACTATGACCGGCCAAATGGCTATGACTATCTTTATATGTTTAGTGATTTAAATACAATAAGCTGCATTTTTTACTAGTCTAGTTGTGTAAGCTTTGTGACTTTGTTACAGGGGACTGCTGGCCCTGCAGACTCTCCATAAATTGCAAACCCTGACTGGGAAACGAGTCCACCAGCTCTTTGACTACATCTGTGGAGTCAGCACAGGTACATTGTTACCACTTTTTAGTGTTATTCATTTGTTGTCCTTCGACTCTTCTGTAAGCTTGACTGTCATTGATTCCACATTTGATTTCATGTAAACTGCCCTTTTCACATCATTCTTGTTCCTTTGCTTTAGGTGCCATCTTGGCCTTCATGTTGGGGATTTTTCAAATCCCCCTAGAAGAGTGTGAGGAGATGTACAGGAAGTTGGGCTCGGATGTGTTCAAACAGAATGTCATCGTTGGAACTGTCAAGATGGGCTGGAGCCATGCTTTCTATGACAGCGAAATCTGGGAAAACATCCTCAAGTTAGTCTGCGCGACTCTTTTATCCTTTGTTTTTCATATAATTATATCTCCTCTCTCCTGCCCACCAATTGAATTAAAGACTGGTGCAGAGGTAATTTAATTTGTCCTTTCCTTAAATCCATTTTTGTGTTTCCTCCAGGGAACGGATGGGTGAGGGATGTATGATTGAGAGTGCCAGGGACCCACACTGCCCTAAAGTTAGTCACATCCTTATATCTGTGTACTGTTAATAATACTGCACCTATTTGTGCATGGGTTAATTCTATTTGTATATGCATAAATGCACATACAGAGACACAAAAATGCTCATATTTCAGATGACAAAATGTGTTGTTTTATTTAATTTTTCCTTCATTACAGAAAAGTGGCAAGAAAAAGACCAATTTCTTTAAGTGTTGTAAAAATTATGACTAGGCACGCTTTTATTTAAATAACCTTTTTTTTTATGTCCACCAGGTGTCAGCAGTGAGCACTATTGTGAACAGGGGTTTACCTCTGAAGGCCTATGTGTTCAGGAACTACAGACTCATGCCAGGAGTGAGATCCCACTACCCTGGAGACTGCCATCACAAAATGTGGCAGGCTATCAGGGCCTCGTCTGCCGCCCCAGGCTACTTCCAGGAATTTGTCCTGGGAAAAGACCTTCATCAGGTATGACATGAAACCAAGAGAACTGCGAGAGGCATCGCCAGGTTTAGATCAGTTCAGTTTAGTTTAGTTAGTTCAATTTAAATATTTGAGGCTTTGAATGAATGAATCATATATAAAAATAGATAAAAAGCAGTGTAGCAACATGGTTTTTAATGGTCTGAAATTGCCATGCACACCGCCTTGGTAATGTACAAAGTCACAGCTCTCTGAGAGCCCTAGATTAGTGCGAGAGGGTCATTTCCTTGAAATCTTACCAATCAATACACTTCCGCTACGATGCTGCATCTCTTAAAAGACTGGTGCCAAGGACAGAGGCGCTGTGGACTGTACTGTACTCTGTGTGAGTGTTCATTAAGGATGTGTGTGTAGATTTGTGTCACTCTTCCAAACGCATAACCTTGAAGGTGGTCCCCTAATTGATTCATCTTCTCTTCTGGCTGTCAAGTGTCTGAGGATTAGAGAGAAAGTGAACAGAATGAGATGGAGGTAGAGAGAGAGAGTTAGAGGTAGAGAGAGAGTCCGGTCTGTGCCCTGAAACATCAAAAGGCCTTGTCCTCTGACTTAAGCCTGCTGTCCTACAGGGAAAGGGAAGAGTTTTTGATTCCTCATGAAAGACAAAATTCAACAGGGCTCCTGTCTGCCACCACTAGTGTCTGAAAGGATCTTCAAGGTCCAAAATGGGGAAAAATACACTCAATATAATGAGCTTCACATCACTCCTTTGCATCCTCACACTGAGTAATGACTGATTATTACTTAGCTCTTTTTCCTCTTCAGTCACAGACAGACAGGAATAGTGGAGAGGATAAAGTATTAGGTTCAAGAATGGTAGATTAGGTTTAAGTAGCAGGTCGGTGACTGAAAATCAGACCGTTAAGGTTCCTGTACTGTCGCAGTGATTATAAGTCATTCTAGATAAAAGGCATCTGATAAATGAATAGAATGTAAGAAGTTTTTAATGCGTTTTATTCACGACCACTGTGATCTTTTATACTGCTTGGTTGTGCCTTTTGGGCGCTGTTCAAATTGAGTTGTTTAATATGTTATTTCATGAAATTTGATTATTAGGCCAGATATCTTTAGATGTCTTTATGGGCAGCAATTATGCTCAGGGCTTAGCTTCATTTTGATAACCTACTTAGGCAAAATTAGTCTTATCCCTGCTTCTAACAAGTATTTCTCTCCCCTGCCATTTGCTAATGTAAGACCCATGGTAGACAGGCCTTTACTATGTTTTAAACAATAACACATCCTAATCTCCATCCCACTCTGCATATTTACCTACCCAAGCTTTGATTCTCTGAGGCATTTTTAATTAAACCAAATGACCTACTGGTCTTTTTTTTTGTCTAAAAAGCCAATAAGTTTAGTAATGCAACTACTGTGAATGCAACTCCAGAAATCCATGTGACCTTTTCTAGTTTTTATTGTGTTAAGCAGACTGTAATGTTCTTTGATTAGTAAGCTAACTAACAAGCCGATATTGTCTGTGCATGATCAGTTTCCAGCTATAATGTTGTTCCAGACAGCGAGAGATTGGAGTAATTCTTTTAGAGATCAATCAGCTGAGGACCTCTTTCTCTGCACCTCCAACATTGTGATGATAATATGTATTTTTGATTATTTCCATTTTCTTGTATAACAGGCTTTTGTCTGTGTGTTTGTGCTTATGCTCCCGGTGACATCTCTGCAGAAAGTATGACAGCAGGGATGAAAAGATGGAGAGTGAATGAGTTGTGTGTGTGTGTGAGTTGTTCTCCACATTCCTCTTGGAGCTGCATAGTTTTTTTTTTTTTTTTTTTTTTTTATCCACAGTTTGAGGTACCGTTGCCACCCACCGGTCTCACTCCTACTCTAGTTTTCAGCACTAGCAGCGGTATTTCTCAGGAAAATTCTGTCATTGCACAGCATCAAAAATATGTACACACACACACACACACACACACACACACACACACACACACACACACACACACACACACACACACACAGTGAAGAGACACATTAACACATTCAATGTAAAGGTAAAACCTAAATATTTCTCCTTGAGCTGCAGGTATTTGTTATACCACTTAACTGTTATTAAACTGTACACTAATACCCAATGATTTTCCAGCATTTGGTTGTTGAATTATATCAGTGTTTTGTTTATTTGCTCATTCAGTTAGGTGAGACCCATGGGTGAGAGGTGGAGGGTCAGAGCTGAGGAGCAGCTGTGTAATTAACCTTCTGTCTCAAGAGTGCAAACTGTGCTCCACTGTTTCAATAGCTCACACCTGAGGGTAAACAGCTTCATAATCAGGCTCAGAATGATGTTTAATTTATGTATTGTCACATATTAATAATGAGAGCAGGGCAGCAGAGTGCACCGATGGAAAGCACCAGTCACCCATAGACAGGTATTTGAATCCAAAATAATTTTTTTAGAGCTATTCAGGTATTTTTTTTTAGCTAGGTTAGGTTAAGAATACAAGTTTGAGTTTGAGTGTTTTTATTGTATTGGTTGCTGGTGACTGATATTTACTAACTAAGTTTTTTTTTTTTTAAAAATACCTTTCTACCACCCACCCCCTCTAGAGGCTTGGAAATGACCTTTACCCCTGCTCTGCTAGGGAGTGTCGGACCTCTTGTGTGCCACACTCTCCGTCTCTATTAATCCTTGCCAAAAGCACTTCAGTGGTTGGATAAAGTCCAGGACTGGACTAGGGGAAAGACTTAGAAAGAGTGTTCAGCACTAAATCGGTCCAGGCAGCCATTCAGCCTGATTGTCTCTCTTTCTCTTATTGTCGGCATCATTTAGGTCAGCAGCTCTTTCATGAAGCTGGTAACATTATTTAGTGAAAGTGACAACACATGCCTCGTGAAAAAGCAGGGAAATAATTCATGATTAGCTTCTAAATGAACTCAGTCAGGTTTAGAATACTAAAAATGCAATATTATGCATCACTCATGCTAAATTCAGTATTCAATGCTAATAATACAATACTATTCAAGTATTGCAGCCATTAGACTCATTATATAGGTCAATTCTGGTCCAAATGACAAAGAATTGCTTATTTTAGCTGCTGATAGCTGCTAAAAACTATTTTTCCTACTTGTTTACCTCTGAATAAACAGTGCTGTTTGCCAGTGCAGCACGTCTCTGACGCAGGAGCTTCTTTTTCTTCAGCTTAAAGCTGTGTAGCTCTGGGACAGCTTGTCCTCCTCACCTCATTTGTCCCCTACCGGCTGTCACATCAAATATATTCAAACTAGAGGTACATGTCAGAGATACAAAGTTTCCTTTATGTGATTTTGAGTAAACATATTTGACTGCGGAGATGCTGACTGTGTCTCTCCTCTCTTCTCCTTTAGGATGGAGGACTTCTGATAAACAACCCCACAGCACTGGCCATCCATGAGTGTAAGTGTCTGTGGCCAAACACACCTCTGCAGTGTGTGTTGTCTCTTGGCACTGGACGGTATGAGGCGGCGGGCAAGAACAGCACGACCTACACAAGCCTGAAGACCAAGCTCACCAACGTCATCAGCAGTGCCACAGACACCGAGGGTAGGACAACACAAAATATTGTTTGTATATATCTGATGTCCCACATTGCTTATAAACCACAGATAAGAGGTGTGCGATGCACTGCAGTTCTTCTCGATTTCAGTTGAAATCGAAATCAAAGATGAAAATGTAAAATTGCCTGCAGCGAGCATCAGATTTTGATTCCTCCTCCATCCTTGTTTCAGAGGTGCACACCATGCTGGACGCCCTCCTGCCCCCTGACACCTACTTCCGCTTCAACCCCTACATGAGCGAGGACATCCCGTTGAACGAGAGCCGCGTGGAGAAGCTGAACTTCCTCAAGAGCGAGGGAGAGCGCTACCTGGAGCGCAACGAGGCCAAGCTGAGGAAGGCTGCTAGCGTGCTGGGCCAGGAGAAGAGCACCATCCAGAGACTGGCCGAGTGGGCCAAGCTCAAGGCCGACATGTACGAGGGTCTTCCCTTTGTCTCCAAGCTGTAGATGTTAGCCTGGCAACAGTGTGACCACGAACAAGTTGTTAAGGTAAGAAGGGAACAAACTGGACACATTTTTTAAGCATCTAGGGAAGTGATACTAAATGTTTACATGGTTCGGTCATCATCCATCTAACCCTGAAAGATGATTATTCATAAAAAAAAGACAGTACTATAAATATTAGTATGAAATTACAAATGTGATGTAATTTATTCTTTGTGAGATAATATGTTGGATGGAGACTGAAAGAATTCAGCAGGTTTTGATACGAGGTTGAGATCAATCACTTGACTGATCAGACAAAGGAAGTAAATGTAAATGTATGAATTTTAAACTGGCTGAAAGCCTTGGTTTGCTGATTGGTGTTGACCGTACTACAGAAACGGTATTAAGAATTAATGCCAACATGATAGGATAACTGTGGTACAGACATGTACAGACATAAGACTGATGTTCTTTTGCATTTTCGGTAACTTGAATACATTAAAATGTAATTAATACATGATTGCTTAGTGAGAGCATAAACATGACTGCCTATTTCTAACACTGTACAGGAGAAAGACCTCATGCACTTTGTAAAATAGAATTCTTAACTGAGAATATGTAAATAATATTTGAAGTACAAATTATCTTTTTGAGTGTTATTGCCAGAATTTAGGAATGAGATAAAAGAAATACACTATACACTATATTACACTATGTACTGGCACCCATACTGACATCTGTTCTCATACTTAAAATAAAGTATTAGAATGTGATCAGCGTTATCCTTGTGGTACAAAGCATGTTCTTCTTTGTTCCTCTGAATTGTGGCCCATTAGTTAGTGTGAAACTTTTGCCTTTAACCTCACTTAAGCCTGAATTCCTCGGCCCCGGCATTTGTTGCTTTTCGCTTTATAAATCTGACATTTCTCATTATCCCCTGATTCCTCCCTTCCTCATTCATTTGTGGAATGCGAAAATTAAGAAAGTGTCATGAAATAATAAAACTTGGTTTTCAAAACCTTGATATAAACTCTGTTCTTTTGACCTTTGACCTCTGGATGACTTATTTGAGATTCCGCTTTTATAAAATGGATGATTATACATACAACAGAAATATATGTCATGTTATTTGATTTTAATGATGTTTATCTGTTTTTCCATTCTGCTGCCTCATACTTCACACAAACACACACACACACCACAAAAAGCCCCACAATAGGCTTGCTACAAAGGAATGCCAAGTGTCTTCCTATGATGAATTGCTTTTTTTCCCCCAATTGTACACATTGATTTTCTGCTTTATTGTTTTGATCCCATTGAACAGCCACTGAAATTCCATAGTGTCATTCCTCCCAGTCACACTGTCGTTACCCCAATCAACATGAACAATAAGCCACAAGGATTCATGCATGTGAGCCTCCACAACAATGACACATGCCAGAAACAAAAGAAATAATATGTCACATATTTCACTTGACTGATACCTCATTCCTGTCAGTCTTATAACTGATTTGACTGATAGATTGATGGCCCATTTTTAAATTTTTTTTCCCAATGCCAGATTTAGCTTCACCATGGTACATTTCATGCCGACGTCAAGGCCTGATTTATGGTTGTGTTGCCTACATTTGGCCTTGCTCTAGAAGGGTCTTTTCAGTGGGTAAGCAGATCCTACAAGAATATCTGTGCTAAAACCAGGCAGTATGGCTAAAAATGTGTCGTCATCTCAGTTTACTGTTACTTCTTAGAGAGAGATGGGACTGCAATAAAAATCATAGTAGTTTATGAAATTATAAAAAAAAAAAAAATCTCCAACTATCTAATTTTCCATAAAAACCACTGCTGATGAATGACTGAATTCCCTAAAAAGTCTGGACACACTGTCAAGTACAAATATTAAGCCTTTATTATAGTGATTATGTGATTAAAAACGAGGCCAAGTTTGACTTGCTGGAGCACACTACTCTTTAAAAACATATTTACCCAACCCTGCTACCAATTTCTATGCTTGATCAACTAGCAGCGCAATACAAGTTCCCTTCACCTCTATTATTTTGGGTGGTGTAAGACGTTTCACAGGTGGATACATCAGAACCTACGCACATAAAACTATTTGCACCCCTAGATTCCACTTGGAGTTAACATGAAATGTTTTTTTTGTGCTTTGAGTGAACTGACCCCCCAGTTTTGTCTACTATGATACATACACCAATGCATAATCATATCAACAGTGTTCAAATGTGCACCCCAGCAGCCTGACAGACAGAGTTGCTCCAGTCAAGATTTATTCCAGTCATATATTCCAGGTTTTGATTCAAATTACAAAACAGCTAGATGTTGCTAGAAAATGCCACTTTTAATTTGTGTGTTTTGATAGCGGACCTGACTTAATGTTCATCTGCGACTCTGAAAGCTTCGAATGCAGAGGTTCTGTTGATATCTGCGAGAGTCCACCGTAAAACACGGCACAGAGTATTATTCAAGTCTCCTGTCAGACTGTGTGGAGACCGAGTGTCATGGACAAGACAGACAAATGAGGTGAACATGAGATTAACACACTGTGGCGATGTTCATCCTGCTGGCAACTTCCTTGAGTATGAAGTAGGGCGGAGTGCCAAAGTAAAGTGAAGTCTGCCAGACTCTGTTTACATGAAGGAGTGGAAAAAATATATTATTAAAGTTCATACCACTGCTATTATGTTATTATGCTATGTTGCTTATTGTGGCAGGAGCTGTCCGTCTCCCCTCCTCCTCAAACTCGATTGGATTGTTTGGCCTTATGGTGTTCCCTAGCAACCGTTATAGTTCCCCTTCTCATTTACAGACTGCTCAATGTATGTGTGCCCACGTTTGCCTAAATTTGTCCCTGATCTTGCAGACATCTTACGCAATCGGCCTCTTTTATTTTGCTGATATAAGAAGGGTTTTGTGGAGAAAAAAAAGTGATCACATTTAAGTTTGCTATCAATATCCAGTGCTGCGCTCTTTTCCTTCTCTTGTCTTCAAGCTCCCACAGCTGACACATACTGTCTTTCAGCCTGACGTCTGTCATTATCTTACACAAACAGTGCAGCATGTGAGAAGAAGTTTGTACAAGGTGTCTTACCTTGTTTTGTCATGGCTGTGCTTTATATTTCTAGTATCTGCACCCTGCCGTATGGGTTGTAGCCGCAAATGTATAAACACAGTTACATAACAAGAGCCATCCAATGTGTTATCACAATCTATGGGTTTACAGTGGCTCCAACAATGCAAGTGAAGCAACAAATAGGCCCCCGAGGGGTTAGAAGTGTGTGCGTGAAGGCCACACAGGAATAGAAATGAGGTAGAAGGGATTGATTCATGCATCCAATCTGTCGCTGCAGAGGGCAAAAATCACCCAAAGGGCTTGAGGAGGATTCATATACAGTCACTTACACTCATCCCCGCCTGGGTCGTCTCAGGATAAGGAGTGTGAGGAAGCTTGTACATATCAGTGAGAGGAAGACCCCAGCAGCTTCACATCAGTGTTTGTCAGATGTAGCTCAGTGACCAAGTTAGGAAGGCTGCTATGTAAACAGTATGGAAGCTGGTACCTGGTAGCTGTCAGAGACATTGTCTCAGTATAATATATCCTAGCCTGTATAAACTGATTTTAAAATACACAGTGCCCCAGAGAGGCTTTGGAGAGGATCCTAAAAATGTAAACTGTTACTTGCAAATGATTTTTAGCACAAATCTAATCCAAAAAAAAAAAAAATTTTTAAATGATGCTTGTTATTCAGTTTTCAGAGCTGTTTGTTTTCATACAGAGAGACAGTAAACTCGCAGTTTCAGAGACGTTAATGAAAATGTTGAAAGCGCAGGAGTATTTCACACTCGGCAGTGGCATGTCAATAATGTCACACTGTAAAAAAGAAAAAGAAAAAAATCTGTCTGTCGTCATGTCTCATTGAAAAGAAACGGCTGAGCAGTTTACACAGTGGTGTTGCTCTCCACATGGCTTTGCCAGGCGGTTAGCGTGAGGACACACCTACACACACATCCTATTTGTCCAACAGCTCTGCATGGATGTCTGTGTCTGTGCAACGGCAGTCCAGTGAAAACTAAATCCTCTGTGTCAACATTAATCACCTTGACTGTTTTCTAGGTCACACCCATGGAGAGTAATTTTGCATTTAAAATAAGTGAGATGGTGCATAACTTTGGTTGGTGCAAACCCATGTACAGAAACACCAACTCATTCATGAGCAGAGTTCCATTGCTAAAACGCCTTTGTTTTGGTCCCAGCCTCCCCCCAGGACATGTCACCATTATTATAGTAGAAACAGTACATGATTTGGTTGTGAATGCTTATGCCCCTCGGCCTGGATGAGTGTTACTGCATGCGTTTATCATGTGAAGAAGCTGTACATGTATACCCACACAGTGCTGATGAACCTGTACATGCCTTACAGTGAGCTACACGTGAGTAAACCATGGCTGTGAGAGCCCAGCTCACAGGTTTGACTTTTCTTTTTTTACACTTATTCATTAAAAATAATGGTGAAAATGTGTGGCCACTGTTTAACCATGAGTCAAGTGTAAGTGAAACAACAGTGTCGTCATTACTGATATTGATGACAAGGTCTTAATGGATGTGAGACATGCCTGGTCTGTCCCAGGTTGGAATTGAGTGATGTGGGAGGGGGTTCGCGTACACACACACACACACACACACACAGCTGTCATGCGAGAAGAAGGATCTGCAGTTCAAATTGTGATGCGGATAGGTGGGCCAGTAATGATAATGTAAATGTGCAGTCAGGTGTGTGACACCAGCGCTGCTGTGTGTGTGTGTGTGTGTGTGTGTGTGTGTACACACATAGGCCACCTGTCCTGTGCTCATGGCAGAGACACCTGTGCCCTACATTATCATTGAGAAACATCTAGAACTACCTATAAAAAAAATTAATGGAGGTGCAAGTGATTAAGCTACTAAATAATAAAATACAATTCTAGCAATCAAATAAGTGAAGTATAAAATTATATCAGTAGTATCAAAAAACCTAGGATAACCTATTAATTTTTTAAAATAACAAATTAAACTTAAAGATATTTACCACATGCTAGAGGTTCCTTTTATTTTGTTAATATAATTGGATTTTTATTTTATTTGACACAATAAGATGCTAACAGTGCTCTGCAGGGTTATTGTTTATCTCTCTGTCTGCAGGTCTCTCTGCTGCCGCTCATTAAAACGGGGTCGCTGCAGCTGGGATTTTTTTCTTTCCTTTCTTCCTGCACATTGGCAGCCAGAAGATAGTAGATGGAAAATGAAGAGGTCTCACTCTGATATGATCCGTTCTTAGAAATATCCTTATATATTTCTAGAGCTGTAATGAATTCTTGATTTTATTAAACACAGAAAGTAAGTCGACAATTATTTTGTTAGTCGGTTTTAGTCATTTAAAAGCAAAGATGCCGAAGGGTCACTGATTTCAGCTTCTCAAATGTGTTGCAATTGTTTGTCATATAACACAGCAAAGTGAATATCTTTGGTTTTTTAAGGTTTTCATGCCAAACATATCTGCAAGCCACTGGAGACGGCGCATGCGTAGGGGTTAAGGACGCCCACGTTCGCAGAGCTGGAGGATAGACCAGGTTTTCCGCGGGTGAGTGTGTCGTCTTTTCGAAAGCATAGGCGATCTTCGGACGCTGCTGGTTTTTGACAGCAGCGGGGGAGCTGGTGAGGAGGAGAGCGGAGGATCCGTGCGGACCACAGCTTGCTGCTGCAGCGGCTGAGGGGGACGGACACACACATACCCTACATACAGTCATTGGCCGGGCACGGTCCCTCAACCACACACACGCGCACGCACGCAAACATACACATACACATCATTTTCTACAGCATCATCTCACACACTCACAGCCGGGGGAGGAAACAGGAGCCGGTTTGCAGACGGTGAGTTTGAATATACCTCTCTGTCTCTCTTTCTCATTTTTCTTTCTCTTTATGAAGACAGGGATAGTTATCTTCAGTGTCATCGTATGTGGCTTGAAAATAATGGTGCAGTGCATGTGTCAAATCGGAGCTTTTTTTTTTCATCTACCACGGCATCCCGGTGATGCTGGTTGACTAGGATGACCAGGTGCAAATAATATAGCAATATGGAGGCGCCTGACGCCGACTGTCGTTTTTTTTTTTCTTCTTCTTCTTCTCTTTTTTTTTTAAAAGAATCTGGATTCTGCTGAGCTTCAAAGGCAGACCATTGCAGTCTGTGCACTCACCGCACTGCATGCGCTGCATCTTGAGGAGGAACCATCAAAGCAAGCAGAGGGGAGGGAAAGCAATGTGTTGATCGGCCGTTGTGTTGAATGAATTTATTCAGCGGTGGTTGCAGCAGCAGCGCGGTTATTGTTGCTGGTGCCGGCCGGTGCAGGCAGGCCCTTCAGCGCTGAGAGGATTATTTGATGTCTGCCAGTGATGCTGCCAGCTGTAAGCTCAGCTCCTCTAACTAACCTTTCAAAAGGTTTGGGCTCATACAGGCAGGGAGCAAGCCCACTAAGGCCTTGTTTTCACGTATTAGATTTAGAGATGTGGATAGGCCAGTCAGCAGGTGACTATTGATCAACAGGAAACCAGCAGCCTCCCATTCTTTATTATTGATCAACATTTCTCATTGATTCTTACATAAAAATAAAACTCAGGGCTCCATGAAGGAGAGTTATTGGTGTTATTTGCACTGGGGTTTTTTTCCCCCCTCAAAGTATTGCCAAATGCTCAACAGCTGTTTGTCACAGAATGGAAAATATGTGTACTGATGTACAGACAGTATGACAAGAGATTCAGTTGACTTTGGATTGGTCACATTCAGTGGAAGAAGACAAATGTTATAGGGGAATTGACTGATTTCAGGACTATTAATAAAAGAGCTAATTTAAATCCTGTTTGTAAAGGATTTAATTATAAGCATGAGGTCAGGAAGAGAGCTAAAAGAATTCTTCTATTAATGGATTAATCAATCTGACAATAAATCTAATCATTGATGAAACATTTCAGTTGATTTTCTAAGCAAATGTGCTACCTGTTCTCTCATTTTTGCTTCTTTAATGTGAGGATTTCCTGCTTTTCCTTGTCACATGCGATAGCGATATGGACATTTTTACCATCTTCAGACATTTGAGGCAAAATGATGGGTCAAATAATTGAGCAAATAACGTGCAGATGGAGCAGCCACAGTCAAGATTACAGTGAGCTGTATGCATCCTCATATGAATGTGATGTGAGGTAAATGGAAAAACAGGGTGATTGTATCTGATATGATGCTATCTACAGTATGGTGGAGATGTTGACATTCTTTGTGTGTATGTGTGTGTCTGCGAGGGAAGATAGGTGATCAACATTTTCACGTCTGGATTTGAGGTGAGAAAATGTGTTCGTAGTGCAGCTATTCCAGTGTCTTACTCCCCTATTGCTGAATAACAAGCTCTTTTAAAAAGGCCTATATTGTTGCCACATTGTGATTTCAGTGAAATGATGGATGCAGAGTTGTCCTGTGTAGCCCACCGGGGCTGCGTGTTATTTTGTTGCAAGGATCTTTGCGTATATATCACGTTGTTTGAATGGTGATACATACAACAGATGCCTTGTAATAGTGGGTATCACACCTGACAACACGACAAGCCACGAGTAAGAAGAGTCATTGTGATGATAATACGAGTGTGAGTTATTTCATGCACATCTGCTGTTGTTGTAACACAGGATGACAGGATGGGGTGAGTTCAGTCTGAGCCTCAACCATACATCATGCCCCATACAGAGATCTTGTACATTTTCCATGTAAATTCCAAGTCAAGTTTTGCTGTGGCTCTGCAAGCTCTGTCATCGTTTGGTGAATGTAATCAGTTGCTGTGAATTGGAAAGCCTGTACTGTTGTACTCTGCAAACCTGAAGCTGCACCAGAATGCTAATATCAGCCTGTTAACCTACATTTCAAAAGCTCCAGTCAGCATTTCATACTGTATTCTTGTGTTCAGCAACATAGTGAGAGCTGAGGCAATAGACTATGTCCCAGTGTCTCCCTCTTATTTCTGTGTTGTCCTCTCTGAATAACTGCCAACCCTCAGCAACATGCGACAGTGAAACTCCACAGTAAAACAGGCCTTTTTAACAGCACACATGTTGACACTTGACAGTGGGGAGAGCACAGGTTTTAAACACTGAAATTAAATGATGGCCACTTGTTCCATTAATTCGAGCGTCATTTATCAGATTAAAAAAATACAAAACTTAATCTTTCCACATATTTAAAATATTGAAGATCTGGCTTGTTAAAGTGATCATTTTGTCAAGTATGCTACCATGTAGCTGTGGTATGTCATGGCCTGGCAGGTACTGTGTGTGGGCACCAATAACCATTGTTGCAAGATCTCCCCCCTTGAGACATGACTTGAGTTTCCTGCGACAACCCCCCCCCCCCCCTCTCCCCACCGACTGTCAAGTGCAGAGCCAGCGCCGAGCCATTACTCATGGCGGATGGGGTGTCACCGTCGCTCTCCCGTTTATCCATGGCCCATTAGACACGAGTCAGGTGATGGAGCTCATGGCCGCTTCAGGTGCATTGTCATTCAAGTGATGACACAATATTGAGACGAGGGAGATGCATAATATTGTTTTCAGGCTGATTGGGGATCAGGGTTGAGGTCAGCTCCCTTTCATTTCACTCAGGTGAGACTCAAACTGACTTGTGAGGGTTATAGCTTTTATTCTCTATACCTTTTTTTTTATATGTATTATAGCTTTTAACAGTTGAATAGTGTCTGTTGATTTTATATAAATTAAGATGGCCAATATCAGCATTAAAAACAAGATCAATATCCCTAATATTCTGAGGAAATGTCTGGCATCCACATCTGTCCAGCTGCATAATGTTGCTTATATTTTGTTTTTCTGTAACTGCATGCTATACTGCAGTTATGCCTTGGATTCCCGGTCCCTTCACTGCTTCAGGCTCTGCCACAACAAGAAAACAATGCTTCTTTAAAAAAAAAAAAAAAAAAAGAATTCTCTGAGGCTACATAAGCAGCCGCCAGTGAAGTATGCAGGTGCACATGTTATGAAATCATAACAGGAGCATCCTGATGTCTCAACATCTATGAGACTGTGAGCCGATGAATACAGTTAGCACTATGGATTCTTCCGTATGCTTTGAGTTAATTGCATCAGCAGCACCCTGCAGCGATGATGGTGGGCTTGGGGGTAGGAGGGGCATGAATACCCCCCCCCTCCCCACGCAGACATATACATACATACACACACACACACACACACACACCCACACTTACACCCTTGGCTCACAGCTGGACATGTTTGGGTGGCTGTTTTCATTAAGGTACGGGACACTTTAAATTAGCATGACTGGCTGAAGATTGATGAATTGGAAAATGGGGGAGCGTTAAAGCCGGGGCTGGAGTGTGTGACATTCTGCTGCTGCTGGTGGATTTCTCAGAGAGCAGATGCTGTTGTTTCTCCCTGCTTTCCTCAGAAGACAGATGGTTTTTTTGTTGTGTGTGTGTGTGTGTCTGTGTTTATTTTTCCTTTTTTGGAGGATGGTGTTATAGTTGGAAGATGGGAGACACCCAGTTCTTTGCACAGTGAAGCACTGTGAGAAATCTTGCGTAAGTCAAACAGGTCTGATTTCAGACAGTTTAATCTCAGGTGTCACATCATCCTGGTACTTTCCTACATCACGGCCACTTAGGTGATACCGTATTCCAGTTTACTATGAATAAACTCACTCAGTGCATTATTCTGGGAAGAGGTCTGCTACTAGTGATGTGATTTCTTAAACACTAAGCTTGGACGATTAGTTGATTAGTCGATCACAGTTTATTTGATTACTGAGTTTTAACCTGTTTGACCTGAGCAATTTAAATGTCACTTTGGACTCTGGGAAATTGAGCTATTTTTCATAATTTCCTGACATTTTATAGACATAATGATGATTCAGAAAATAATTGCCACTTTAATTGATAATGAAAATAATTGTTAGTTGCAGGCCAGCACAAATCACCTCACACAGTGTCTCAAACTGAGAGCACAGAGGGAGAGGGGAGGGGAGGAAAGGAGAGGAGAGGAGAGGAAAGGATAGAAGAGAAGAGGAGGGAAAGAAGACTGAGCAGAACTGGGGGAAGAGAGCAGTGGCGAGAAACACAATGTTGGAGAGCAGACAAGGGGAATGAGTTAGTAGGAGGAAACTAGAGCTGCAGTGAATAGTGGAGCGAAGAAGAACGGAGAGGAGAGGAGAGGAGCGAGGTGCTGCTGCTGCGATCACCAGCTGTGCCAGGCCACATCCTCAGTGCAGCAAGACACTTGAGATTAACAAAAGGAGACATAGCATGCCGCTCCTGCGCAGGCACGCACGCACGCACGCATGCACATAAATAAGCTTAGTAATGACACTTTTATCCATCACACATTCATCTTTTGTCTTTTTTTTTTCTTTTTTCTTTTTTTTTTTATAAATTAAAACGTCACCTGTAGGTTTGAGTCTGCTCGGAGGCTGCAGGTGATGTTGTTTGTGTGGATCAGGTGGGCAACAGATGGGAGAGTGGGTGAGAGCCCAGGAGTTGCCAGACTGATGGCGGCTGTCATTTCGCTGAGTGTAAAGACACATCGGCATCTCTGTCTGAACAGCCGATTTCATTATATACACCGAGCCATATGCAGGCGAGGATTATTTGTGTCTCGCTGCAGGTGCGTTGGAGTTTTGCGACACAGTTGTTTCACAGCCTCGTCAGGTTTTCTCTTTGGAGGAGAAAATCATATCTATATGCATATGGTCATGTACAGTATATCCTCTATTTTTTTTTTTTTTTAGCTAGTGTTAGGGAAACAAAGATGTATGTTCAAATCCCATTGGTGGGAGCTTAATTCATTGTACAGTAGGCTTAAAAATAATA